TTTCAAATAAGTTTATTTTGACGTTTCGATTTCCACTTCGGAAATTTTACTTTACATTATCTAAAAATCGTTTTGAACGATGTAATTTTGTTTTCTTGAAATATCACTCTGATTTAGCGTTGGGAATACAAAAATTAGACAATTTAGCGATAAATATCACTCCAAATTGTAACTTTAGTAACTTTATATAATAATATAATATATACAGAGTTGCAATCAGACCAGTAGTTACATACTCAGCTGAGACAATGTGCTTCACAGATAAAGATGAAGAAAAATTAAGAATATTCGAAAAAAGAAATCCTCAGAAGAATTATGGGACCAATAAGAATGGAAAACGGAGAAATGAGAAGAAGAATGAACCATGAACTAAGAGACATAATGAAAGGAGAAGATATCTAAAATCGAGTCCATGTTTTTAAATTTGCGAACTCCCGAAACGAGTTAAAAATCAACTATCACACTGTAACGAAAAAAGCTAACAAAAGTAGATAATAAAAAGCTTCTCATCCACCAATACTTAACGAAGACCACGTTGCTCAGTTTGGGAGCTTCATTGGGGGTGGGTAAAGATATAGACGATAGAAAAGTTCAGATCGGAGACAGATAGGTCAACGATAGATTATCAGGTATTAAACAGTTTGACAAAGAAAAGCAAGAAACACGGAATACAGTTAAACTGCAAAACAAAATGGGCGCCAATAAGTTTTAATCTGAAACTCATGAAGGAACTCAAGATTAAATAAACCAAACATTATGTTAACATTTCTCTCAAAGACATCAGAAAAACATACGTCAGGTAACATATCAAAGAATTATCAACAAAAATCATAAAAATGGACATATTTACTAATAATTTGTAAAAAGGTTACATATTTAATAAAATACTTTAAAAGAAGAGGTTAAATATTTGTAAATGGGTATATTTAAAAAACTTTTAAAAGGGCTACATCAAACTAACACGAACGTTTTCGGAATAATAATTCCATCATCAGGTTAAAAATTCAGGTTAACATGCCTGAGCCTGAGCTGGTAACTCAGCTGAAGTCCGTTTGAAGAGGTTTACTCTCCGGACGCTGGAACTCACTTAAGGCATGGGTGTATGTTACCTAAAGTAAAATATAATTAAATATATAATTAACAACAATATGTACAATCTTTGGTAACTTTATGTATTTTAAAGGGTTTTCACCTTAATATTTTGGTGGTTAAGGCATGTTAACCTGCATTTTTAACCTGATGATGGAATTATTATTCCGAAAATTCGTGTTAATTTGATGTATCCCTTTTAAGGGTTTTTTAAATATACCCATTTACAAAGATTTAACCTCTTTTTTGTGATACGTGGTATACAACCAGCTGCAGGAATTATTTTCCTTGTAGACTTAAAAAGAATTATATCGTCTCTACAAAAATAAAATAATAAATCTCGAAAAATTGTTTGTTAATGCCCAAAAAAGCCAATATCAGAAATTCGCAAACATGTATCTACTAAATACTCAAAAACAGATTTTACGTATGACTATATTGCCATCAGTTAACTTATTGTTTCTGCCTAAGATATGACACAGCATTGTTTTAATAGTAGAAAAATACAGTACTTTTAATATACCTAGATTGATTGATATATAAAATGAAATACTTTAATTACTTTATTTACAAGACGTAATATACAGATATGTCTGCAATTAACAGTAAAAAACAAAAATAGTCAACACTCAAATTATAGTTCGATGACATTCGTAGATAACATCTGATACTGCCTAAAACAGGTGCATTACCGGTAGGTGCATTAGGCGGTATTAGCGGTAGGTTATCGGTGCAGATAACATCTGATACTGCCTAAAACAGGTGCATTTGGAATACCGTACTGAAACAGTACGGTATGCAACCTGGCATTGAAAGTGCGGAGCGGCATTGGAAAAAAATGGTCTGTGAAACTCTATAATATATCGAGTTTATTAAAGGTAAATTTACAAATAATAATTATTTAGTTTGCCGCATTTTATGCAGATTTCACCACTGAGCTTGAAACAAAAGAAATATTTGTCAAAATGCATATTGCTCGGGGATAAGAACGAACTGAAGCAAGAAAAGTTGTATTATTCCTTTTTATTAGCTAGCCCTAAGCTAATTAATTTTTGGTAGGGAATTATAGTTTTGTTCAAAATATTTGTTCCCTTGAGAAAACGTTACGACTTTAACTAAATTATATGCCAAAACCAATAAAATGGTGAGAGTTTATGTGAGATTAGTACTTGAATGAAATAGTTTAAGCACAAAAACTTGCCCGTTTATGAGAACATATGAATACATTCAAGAGAAATTAACATGCCACAACACTGTCTATAATAAATCGCAACTTTGTTATCATAGTAACGAAATCAAAGCTCTCTCTTCAGTCATGACCTCCTGGAGGGAGTGCTGTGGTCATCGTAATGTCGTGTATTGTCCGTCTGTCTCTGGTCATTTCTTTTAACTCATTCTGCACATTCCTGTAATTCGGTCGATCCATCTTGTTAGGGATTTTCCTCGTGATCTTCGGCCTTCTATCTTTCCATGGATAACAAGTCTTTCGATGTTGTCTGTCTGCTTTCATGACATGTTTAAAGTATTTTAATTGTTGGAGATGTTTGCTGGAAAGTCGTTTGTTGACTTTTAGTTCATTTAAAATTGAATTATTTGTCCTGTGGTCGGTCAGTCCACAGAATTCGTAACATTTGTCTCCAGCAGAACATTTCGGTGGCCTCTATTTTTTTTCCGCTTATCGTAAGATCCAAGATTCACATCCTTGTCAGTATTGGGAATATTAAGCAGTTGATTAATCTCATTTTTAGAGTTCGTGAAACTTCAGAATCCTGCCATCTTTCCTACGGCGACTTTTGCTACTTCACATATTGGTTTTATTTCTTTCCGTAGTACCCCTGTGTTTTTGATCAATGATGCAGGATAATATAATTATGAGCACACAACCCCTCAAACCGGTCAATCGTGGTTATGTGTAGATTATCGTTATGTAGTCTATCTACTATTATGATCTTGCATAGATGCATAAGTAGATCAGTATATTATATAAATCCAGTAGGTGAGATATTAGAGAAATGTACTACTTTTTGAGACCACATCTGCAAAAATCTTAAAAAAAAGCATATTTAAAAACTGGTATTTGACAAATTTACCAATTGCTTGATATTTATCATTGCTTTGTATAATTCCTTTAGTACTAAATTTCAAATAAGTTATAATTTAGAGGAAAGTATACAACTATGGGCTACCCATTTTGTATTTCTTTATAAAAAAAGAATGAAAGTTCTATTTCAATTCCAAAGGTACGTAAGAATACTTATATTTAATTAATAATAACCTGCCCAAACTCCGCATTGATTAAAAAAATATATAATGAAAAATTGTAGTTTTGTGTCGTTCACACACATATTCTTCTTTTTCGGCTCCAGCGCACTCGTTATGTGCCCACAAATGTCACATGAAGCACTTCTTGACCCATATTTCACCAAGATTATCCTCTCAAAAAATTGCTTCGCAAAACATACACGTTACGTCAGCTTTTCAGCGTTTCCCTTTTCAGTCTACTACCTGTGCAATCTTGTTTTGTACAACCGTAAGACCTGTCTCGTCCACATTGAAGAAGGATGCGATATTTTCTTTGTTAAAGCCTCTTGCTCGTGAATATAATGTTCCCGTTGGTCGTCGTACTGATAGTTCCTTATGGTATTGCAGGAAAAGCCTCAGCCAGGCTCTGTATACCGTGATACCTCTAAACGGATGTTTGATCCTGGAAGTTCCTGTATTGTTCCTGGAAGCTAAGACGTGCGCCATCCTCCTAAGATCTTTTCTGATTAATCCATGAAATTTAGCTTCCATTTTCAAAATATAACGAACCTACTTGTCCTCAAGATCATTCTCTAAGACAGCTTTATGCCCTAACTTTATTTGAGTACCTTCAATTGGCTTTAGTTCAAGTTTCCTTGCAGAACGTTGCAACGTAGAACGTGTGACATTAAACATTTTTGCAGTTTTCAGCGTACCCATTTAGTGCTGCCTGACAGCTATAATTGCACGTTCCATATCTCTCTCATCCCATTTTTCTTATCTTCTTTCAGCTGTTGTTTTGACATTCTGAAACAATTGGAGTATGTTTTACATTGTTCTAAATATGGGCCAGTAGCCCATAATGAAAACAGAGGAATAGCCCATTTTGTAAACACACTAAAAGTAGTCAATTTGAAGAAAACTCATTAGCATATATCAAAGACTGATTATAGAGCTTCAACGTGACACAGTCGTTTTTTTTTTGAAATTAGTGTTTATCTTCAAATTCTGGAATAGATCAACTTACCCGAAAAAGTTTTGACACTCACAGCAACCGAAAAACAATTATTATAAACTGGGAAATATCTACCACTGTGGCGCCAACGCTACTGTGATAGTTTAACTTCGCCAAATACCGTTTGCAATAGTCAAAATGTAAAGGTCTGCAACGAATAGCTGTGAAACCTTCCTAGCCCATATTACAAGACCAGCCCATATTTTCAGCCTTTTCTTTACTAATAAATTTACTAGTAGCTTAAATAATCATTTACTAATAAATTTACTAGTACCATAAAACAGTTTTAATTTTCAACCAACATTTTAAGTTACGATTCTAGCTTTTGATTTTTTTTATTTTAATTTTTTAAATTTGTAGTAAATCAACTAGCTTAGCTATATATATATATATATATATATATATATATATATATATATATATATATATATATATATATTATATTTCATTAACTCGCTTTTTTACTGTAAAAGCCGAGAATTATTATAAAGTTAAAATAAAACAGTTAAATGTCTCTATAGTTAAATCACTGAAATTAAAACGTTAATGCCAAATATAGTAATAAAAAATTAATGGATTCATCACTTAAAAATTTTATGACATAATCAAATCAAATAACATAATCAAATCAAATCAAATAACAAACTTTTTGCAGAATCCCCCGAATTTTCTAATAATGGGCGATTTTAGAACCTATGTTACCCAAGAAGTGATAGTTCCCCAGGAACCAGAGCACGAAGAGGAGCCTCTAGTGGAAGGAAATTTAATCGATACAACAGAAGATACAGTATCAGAGACAGATAATGTACAAGCAAGAAATGAAGCAATTATATTGGCCGCTCAGGAAGAATTGATCAAAGAAAGAGAATTTCTTCGTGGGCAATGTGAAAAGATGAGGTTTGTACAATATTTTATTATTTAGTTTTATTACTTCATAAAGTTATCATGTTCATAAATATTAGGCGAATTTGAAGAAAATAGATATATAGAATAGTCAAATATCATACAGGACTTTGTCAATACATATCTTCAGAAACTGGCGAAACCGATAACATCACTTATGAAGGTATTTGTTTGTTTTCTTCTTTTTTAGTAAAAAAGTCAAAGAAATATTTTGTTAAACTTAAACTAAAATCGAAAGTGAGGACATTATTAAATTTTATCTGAATGTATCTCCTCAATTAATTTAATTTATAGAGTTTTAAAGAATTCATACATATATTCCACATGAAAGTACTAGAATACATGAAAAGTTTTAAACGAAGTTTCATTTTCAAATGAAGATTATATAATAAAGTCTAATGTCGGCCAAAGATCAAGAGAACCATATCCAGTCTAGTAGTTTACCGTTAGGTTAGGTTCAATATAAGAGATCGCTTAACCCATAGGCATATAATATAAGATAGATCGTTGCAAAACCAGCCAGTTCCCCCAGTGCGATAGAGAAACTGACGCAAAGCACTCGTTGCATCTCTTTCTAATTTACCAGGTTTATCGATCAGGTGACCTAAATGACCAATGAGAAGGTCACGTAGGCGATAAACCCGACTCATTAGACAGAGATGCAGGGACTGTTTTTCGTCAGTTTTCTCTGTCGCACTGGGGGACGCCAACTGCATTGCAGCAGTCAGTCTAGCTTGTATTATATGTCTATGGCTTAACCACCGTTCTACTCAACTTAAAAGGTCCGTTGTGGCTTATCCCTAGGTTAAAGTGGTCCTTTCAGACCAGCCTTTTTAACAGTGGTCCTTTCAGACCAGCCTTTTTAACAAAGTCTATTATGCCCTGTGGTGACACTTCTACAAAGTGGCATCAAAGGGCTCGAGTTGATAATGTTCAAATGTATTGAGCCTTATCCTATCCATTCCTGGGGAGTTGTATAGAACGTGTCCAACTGCCTCGTCTACAGTCTGACAATCAGTCTTGAGTGTGCAATTCGCACTTTTTGTCAGTCAGTCTGATTTTGTTCATGTACCCCTTAAGACGACAGTGTCCTGCTAGGAGAGAGACCTACGATAGCTCGCAGATTATTTATATCTAGCAGATATTTGGAATTCTTCGAATGCGATTCGAAAGCCTTCGAATGTTTGAAACGTATTTGTTTATCCGTTTCACACAGTCCAATCTTTTGACTGTGCTTCTTGCTATATCAACTTGAAGGTCTGGGCCTATTACAGTTTCTTTTCTCCCTCTCCTTGAATACTAATATGTCCAGGCACAGAAACTTACTTTTATACTTTTTTACTGAATCAAATTCTGAAGACACTTCCAAACTAACTTAACGTAACTTAACGTAAACCCGATTCAAAAACGAAATGTTTTTGAAAACATAGTGTAACTCCTAATTTGACAACATAAGATTAACGGACGCCTTGGTTAGTGCGAAAATCAGCAATTGCAGATCACATTTTTGTAAAAGTAACCACAATATTTTATTCGAAGAAGCACAAGTCCTTTGTACATAACACCATGATACTATGATAAGAAGATAAGATATTGCGCATAAGTCGTGACGTCATTGGAGAGTTACACGTTCGAAATGTCAGTTTTTTGTATGTGTCAATAAATAATCTTTAATAAATAGTTTGGAGATATCCCTATGTGTACAATTATTGTAATTATTGAACCTCTTAACTTATTTTCGTCTAGTAATTTCATCACAGAATACATACAAATACCATTTTTTAACTTTAACAAGAATTCAAATTCTACTCTCCAATGACGGCATGCGCGAACACGACCGATTTTGTGATACGGGAAGATCCTATCTTGTTATTCATAGTATCATGCATAACACATATCCAGAGAGGTTAAAAGAGGCTATCGAAATCCAAAAAGTAGCCGATCAGTTTTACTTGACAAGGAGAGTGTCTCCATCTAAACAGGATGTGGATCTCTTTGCGACAAAATACGAAACCTCTCCTACAGACGCACTGAAAATTCCAATACCGATTCCGATCAACAGACAAAGCCTTTAGAAAGAAATAATTACTGACCACGATTATAATCGTAAATTTCAATATTTAAAAATAGGCCACAATGCCACATTTTACAATCGATTATGAGGATTCTTATGAAATTCAAAAACTGAAAATGTTTCGAGATATAATATATATATATATATATATATATATATATATATATATATATATATATATATATATATATATATGTAAAAGATTACACCTTTTAGCAAAAAGCTGCTATCGCTTTATTGAATTAAATGGCAAAATATATGGCCTAGGAGGACAAACTCATTAAATTTCCCATGCTCGAATCGGTATCAATAAAGTGTTATGATCATTTCGGCCTATCTCAGCCTCATCAGACACTTGGGCTGATACAAATTCAAACTCGGAAAGTCCAACGAATGTCTCCCAAAACTTTACTACAACAGTAGTTAGCGTACAAAGGCGCCACCTGCTTTGGCGGCCGTGAACGAAAACGATATGATAATATCGTTCTCTGTATCCTCTGCGCTATGCGAAATGTGTAAAAGATTAAATCTTTTAGCAAAAAGCTCCTATCGCTTTATTGAATTAAAACGCTTTGTACGCTAAATACTGTTATAGTGAAGTTTTGGGAGACATTCGCTGGACTTTCTGAGTTTGAATTCATATCAGCCAAAATGTCTGATGAGGCTGGGATAGGACGAAATGATCATAACACTTTATTGATACCGATTTGTCTTTCTAGGCCATTTAATTCAATAAAGCGATAGCAGCTTTTTGCTAAAAGCTATATATATATATATATATATATATATATATATATATATATATATATATATATATATATACAGATTGAACGAAATAAATTCGGAACATAGGAATATAATGTATTTCGGCTCAATTCTGCTGCTGTAGCTGGTTGGCCAACAAAAGATTGTCAAATAATTATATTATAAAAAATCCCATACTTCAGCGGGCTGCTGGATTCTGAACTCATAAAAATTGAAAGCTACACATAAATCTACGATTTTATTATGCTGTCAAACCAGTTATAGTCCAGGAAATGTAGCATTTCACCTCGCAATTTTTTCGTGCGGCGTGGATTGACTTGAAATTTAACAGAAGGTAGGTAATAGCCTAAGGATCAAAATCTATGTCGAACCAAAGTGCGCCAAAGCCTATGCCACCCCATCTCCGGGGTGAAAATTTTTTTTACGTTTTAACTACAGGTTTCGATTAGAAAAGTGATTCTAAACAAAAATGTGCTATACATTTTTTTTATAAAATGATATTTTTCAAGTTATTCGCGATTGAAGTAACAACTTTTAGACGAAAAATCCACGTTTTTAATCGATTTTTCGCGAATAACTCGAAAATGGTGCACTTTATCAAAAAAATTGTAGAGAACAAATTTGTAGCTTTTAAAAAGACAAATACAATATCAATGTTCAGCGGTTTTCTTCAAATGCCAAATTTGAAAGATTCAAAGTCAAATATCGGGAAAATTATGCATTTTTGGAAGAAAACTCACAAAACCTTTTTTAAAGAGCATAAATAGACCTATCATAAAAAAATAAGGTCAATACCTCATTTTTTACGAAAAAATCGAGGAAAACAACACCCTAACCACCCCCATAATTAAAATCGATCTTCACCCTTCTGCAATTCTCTTTGTAGATGTATTGTTAATACGTCCAAGAAGTTTGACCCATTAAAAATGCTTAGTTTTAGAAAAAGTACAGCTTAAAGCGAGAAACGATTTACAATTTCATATTTTTTACCCTTCTTTTTTTAAATATGCCCAAAAATACTGAATATATGAAAAAAATAAAAATTACCAAATTGTAGCTTTTTTAATGACTAAAATTATACCTTATTTAGATTTGTTGTACAATGAATATTTGGCGAGATATAGCCGTTTAAAGCGTCGATTTACGATCAACACCATCTTTTTCGAGCCCTTTAAACTCACCCCATTTAAAAACCAAGGGTTTCAAAAAGATTTAATTTACAGATCCTTGTAGCTAATAAAAACCTCTACGAATCGTTTTTGAAGAAACACTCTATCGTTAAAAATTAAAGGAAATACGTTAAAAAAACCAGTTAATTTTTTCCGGAAAATTCCATTAGTATAGTACAGTACATTTCGGAGCATAATAATCTACAAAACCGGTATATTAGCTAGTGGGGCCTTATACATTCGAAATTTTAAGCGTTCTTATTTTGAAATCCCATACAACAGAATAAAACATCTGCTCATATATCAATGGCTTGGCAATGAAAATATCAGAGCAACAGATTGGGGATGGTATTCCAAAGATGGTTTGTTATTACCCGTACGCATGAACAAACAACCTGCACCCGATAAATTTTTGAAAATTATTTTTGCCAATGCCAAAAAAATGCGGCGTTTCATATGGGTGCTGAAAAGTTGGTTTATACTATAACTTTACTTGTTCTGGGTGCTCAGGTGAAGGGTGCAATAACAGTCCACCAATAATTGAAGAAGATGAGGATGACATAGATCACGATGAAGATGTAATTGATATCGAATAAAATTAATATTATAATTGTTTTACCTATAAATGTAAATATTTTCAACTATTTATGTAAATGTATAAGAATATATGGTGCCTTTTTATGCTGATAATTTTTTTTGTATTTAATTCTACTTTTTTCAATTTATATCTTATAAATTAGTTTATAAAAAACTGCAATGTTGTAAAGAGTGATTTTCAAAAGTTGAAAAGTTGCAAAATTTTGGCAAAAAATTGTTTTCACCTATAGCACTCATAACAATTGATTTTTAAGGGTTGAAAATATATGAATTTGTATTTTAAAGTATAAAAAACTCACTATTTAACTAATCCAAACCAAATTTCACTCATCTTAAGATTTGTAATATTACTTTACAATTTTTTAAAATTAAGGGTAGTTTTCACCCCT